CCACCACTACCAGCTTTGGGGTTCCGTCAAAATCTGGATGATATAATCAGACTTCAGGAGCAAGTGATTTCCTTAGTGATTAAGATACCGTACGGATGCTTTACTGGTTACATAATCTCGGGTTTTATTTGCAACTAAAATACTACCTTACGAAGTGATTCAGCACATCGGTGACGGCCATTTCGAAGCTCCTGATTTCTGAATCTGCTAAATTAATTATTTCGATTGATGAGTATAATTCCTGTAAAACGAGGTCTCTGGAACTCAAAGAAGATATAAATCTGCTCTTCTTTCGCGACGACATGTCACAGACTTAGAAGAATGAACTTTGTAATGCACTATCACAAGGAAGTGGTGCAGTATTGTAGGCTAGATTAAAAGCGACCGAGAAGTCTAATTTGAACCGTCTGCTCATGGGCCACGAACCCTTCACGTACCAACTCTCTCTAGGCTCGGAGATACGACTCTTGAAGCTAAAAGGACGTTTCAATTCACAAGAGGCAATGAGCTGTACATTGAAGCATTATAGCTTGACTGAAAATCCTGTCTATCTTGTACTTTGTTACGTCTGGGGCTCCCTTAGAGATATATGGAGATTTCTGTTAATGACTGGCGGCTCGACGTAAGGGAAAACCTCTTTGATGTTCTTGTACAAATAGGGAAAAGTTCGTCGCTTCACCAAGAGTCTTTCGACCTTTCTACTTCCATAGTTCCCGTCTGGATCGATGCAATATGCATCAGTCAAGGAAACCAAGAAGAGAGGGCGAAGAAGTCTTAGGATAAGGAATCCCTGCTCTTCTGCTCAGGTTACGTTGACCTTGGCAATCCAAAATGTGGCCTACATCTGAAGAGGTTGAGTGAGCGTCTTCTCGAAACAGGCTTGGACAGGAAACCCACAAAAGCTCTCTTGCGCGTCAAACAACATTTGGTGTAGAGGCTTGTGGGCCTTGTAGGGTTTGCACTTAGTAGGCTGAATCTCTGATCCTATGGGGCCATTTGTTGTTTACCATGAGAACCTTGTCCCGCATTCGCAACTTGCTGGACAGGGTCCTCAAGGTGTTCTACTCGGCCACTGTGCTCAAACGGGAAAATATTAGGTAACGGACTAACTACATCCTGCCGGACAGCTTCTTTGTATGTTGTTTGTATGTTGTATGATGTAGGGATGACTCGGTGTACGGACACGCGCGATCGAGTGTATGGGCTGCTAGGTTTGCTTACCTTGAAGCCGAGTGTTGAGAGCTGATAGTAAGCCGCGATTTGAAAGTGGGATAAGCCCATCAAGGCTTTGCGAAATAACTCATCGAAGGAACAAAACGCCTGGCCACCGTACATTGCGCTAAGAGAGGGAAAAAGGCTGAAGAATTCCCGAGCTGGGTTCCTGGCTTCAGACATATCAGTTACTTCAAGAGGTCGAAGCTGATCCCAATCTCGCGTTCAAATGAAACCACCCGATTGTGCATGGGCTTAGAATTACGCAGATGAGAAATTACCTTGCGTATCAACCGATGCCCTGGAGAGGAAGAAAGATGGCTGCGAAGGTTTCAAGAGAAGATTCTGCTCGAGTCAGCTGAGCGTTGCGGCCCGTAACTGCTCGATTCTTGTGTTCTCGACATGGGGGCATATGTTGGTATTTCAGAGGAAGGGATGAATCGCCTGGTTATGATTAGAGCATATGCATTCTTAGACGTTCGGATGAGCCGGTGGTTATTCGAAACTCTCCAGAAGGATATCGATTACAGATGAAACATGCTACTCAATAATCGATCGAAAACTCTCTTTTGAGGAAATTAAACTCATAAAACAGCAAAGGGCATTTAATTGGATAAGGTATTTCCGCTAAGAAATTTTGTAAAATGTAGTCTAACTATGAACAGGCCAGTTAAGAAATAAATTGTAACCTGACTTCTACCACTTTGTCTATTTTCCAAAACAACCGACATCTACTAACAGTCATACATGCATCCAGACACAGAGCAATCTTGACAATGACGCCTTATAGGCGCCTAGGGACCGCGCCACCCTAAAAAAGACCGACCCTAAGGCCTGGTTTATACTCCTGATACGTACAGTCCACAGTATGGAAACCGGACATACTATTACTGGAAGACGCTCAAGGTTATCTACAGTCTAGGAAAATACCGTTATGGTTTATATAGCAGTGAAGCGAAGCGCTTGAGGGATTGCTTAGTAAGTGTGCGCTTTTTGTAGTGGAGCGTATTTTGTGTGTTTATCAGCGCGAAGTCTACAATGATAATGACGGGGTCTATCCAGTTCAAAGTTAGTATCACCTAACACTTCACTAGTCTCCTACGGTTGAAAGACCCCCTTTGAAGGGGACGCAGTAAAGTATCATACTAGGGGAAGTGGTTATTGTTTTTTAGATTATTGCCTGGTGTTCAAGTTACTGCAGCCACATAGTGTCTCATGTATGGAGAGCGGAAAGGAAATGGATATTTTGAGTTTTGATTTTTCGACATATCTTACACAAAGGTCAATGTCTTACGAGTATTCTCACTTCATCGCTTGACCACTAAGAGGCCTAGTTCGTCATATGAAATCATCTGTCCATAGTAATATATTGAAGTGTAAAGGGGGCATATGCACCAGGCCTGAATAAATATTCTTTCAAGCGATTAACCCTAGGCGTCTACCAGCATATTTAGCTAAACTGACGATAAGCTTCTTGTACCTCTAATCTCCAATGAATCACATGCGACATGGATCACATGTGAACATTCATTCATTATTCACAACCTTGCTAAAAAACCAGGTACGAGGAAGGTGACGAAGACGGGAGGTTAGTACCAGCTACATTTATTATGACTGTGAAAGTAGCCGATTATGCAGCACTATGAGGGGAGTATATTGAGGAAGGAGAGAATAGGTGATCAAAAAGAGGATGAATTGAGAGGTGTGAATCGAGAGGTGTGAATCGAGAGGTGTGAATCGAGAGGTGTGAATCGAGAGGTGTGAATCGAGAGGTGTGAATCGAGAGGTGTGAATCGAGAAGGATACATTGAGAGATTTATGTATACTTTTATAGAATAGATAGCTGTGTGTTGTAAATATGTCCCGATACACCCCTTCTCTCCTAACACCTTCGCAATGAAAGGTAAATCTCCATAAGAAGAGCGCTAGGTTTCCGTGAATAAAGAAAAAAAGTTAGCTAAGAGGATAGAAAAGGAAGACGAATATTGAATGTGTATAAATACTTTGCTAACATGGAAAGGATTATTCTGCCTTCAAAAGAAGATACACCAGATAGTTTATAATAGTAAACAGTCTACCTGGCGATCTCTGCTTATATGTGTTTATAGGGTAAATTGAAGTCAGCGTTGCCTGTCAAGTGCCTCACTAAAAATCTAGGAAGGTCTTCCGCCATTGGACCCTATTATTCTCGTAACTACTTCACAGCCATCCCAGTACATCTTCTCTATTGCCTACCTTCCTAGCTATGGAAGAAAGCCGCCCCCTTCCAACTCGCCACTACATTCTTAGCAACCAATTCTTGAATAGCCATACCCGGATGATAATCATTAAACCACAGACATGTCTTCCCATCACTGTTATAGCACTTCGCATCCTTCGCCCCATACTTTGTGGGGTTGTCAATCGCCGTATTAAACGGCGCCAGCGTATCCACAACCACATACGTAGCACCACTTTTACCGCTGAAGTAAGACGCAGCGTGGGAGGCGAGAAGGTTGTTGTACTGGGATATGACCGTTGCTTCAGTTTGTTGGGCGCTTGCAGACTGTCCCAACATTAACGGTGATCTGTTAATTGCTGTGGTCGCGTTAGCAATTCTTCGTCTCTCTCTCCTGCATTAGAACAGCATCCACGGGTTTGGGAGAGGGATAGGGAGAGGGGACTCACGTGGCACGCCCAAAAACACAAAATTCCTCGCGCCGGCCTGATACATAATGTCGACTTGAGAGAAGTAACTGGCCATAATCCTCCCCAACAGCTCATTCACTCCGGATAAATAATACGTGTTTCCAACATCATTCACCCCCATCCACACTGCGAACAGACTGTTCTCTGCCGTCCACGGCGCGTAGGAGGGTTTGCTGGCAATGCTAGATTTGAATTGTCCCACTTGATCAATAAAACTCTTCACAGTGCTCGTATACGGCTGCACTAGGCTCGCATTGGTCGTCGCGCCGCCGTATGCGAAGTTGTAGCTGTACGTGGGGGTGGCATTGTATGACTTGATGAGGTAGCCGATCCAGTTTGCGCCGCCGGAGGTTGTCCAGCCGGGATAGGTTGGGTTGCCGAGCGGGTTGGAGACGGAGGGTTTGGTAGAGGTGACGTCGAAGCCGGTTTGGGAGTAGGAGTCACCACTGTAGAAGTATTGCGGTTGGTCATTCGGAGCAGATAAAGGAATGGAACAGAACGGGAGGGGAAAGTTTACAATGTGATTAGGTAGTTTACTGCTGAAGCTCCGCGGACTGTTGCTAAAGCTGTGAGCAGCCCGGTGAGGGTTTTTGTTGATAGCATTTTTTGGAGAGGATATGGGCAATGATAGTAAAAGTGAGCAGTTACTAGAAGCTCTTAAAGAGTTTCCTTGGACTTCATTTTTGTGCTCTACCCTGGAGCAATATCAAATAGTTCAGGAATGATCTATACACCGACCAATCAAACAGGGAGCTATCACTGAAGCTATTCCGACATTTACGAGATACCTAGCTGTACGGAGGTGTATGCTCCGTATATAGACTATTCCATTCCCGGTTAAGTAACGTTGGGAAGCTATCTATGTTTGCAAGTTCAAGATTGTGAATTAATTACCTGTTTCCATGACCCCGCTGTTTAGATTGATTTTTCCGTATATACATGCATACGGGTCAATGGTGTCGATTACAAAAGCCGGTCCGTGTCTGTTGTAGCAGGTAGATTGCATCTGGAGTGACTAGTCCATGTTTTATAGGAAGCATGAGCAAAAACAAGGAAAGTCTTTCGCAGGGTAAGAGATAGGCAGGAAAAAAAAAATGAAGTGCCTCGAAGCGGAATCGAACCGCTGATCTCGACATTACTAGTGTCGCGCGTTACCACTGCGCCATCAAGGCTGGCGTTGCTTTATTGATGTTAGAATTGCTGTTTTAAGATCTTTTATTATACTGTGCCGAGGAGTGGAGACCGTACCCCTGACCTCCAGTCTAGAACCACCAAATGCAAACATAACGAATAGAGACATAGATAGCTAAGTGTTCCAAAAGATCGCCGCGACCAATCACTTTGGAATGAGAAATTTAATTTTTGTCTCAAAGGGTAGAGATACATAGCCTTTTTCTCTAATGGACAGATACAACAGCCTGCTGATACACACCATCGTGACAAACCTGCACACATGTACACATTAACAAGATCCCAGCTTCCAAAAATGACAAGCGGACGAATAATCAGAAATTCAAGAAAGAGTGAATTCCACTTCTCGTCTTACCATGTCTCTTCCGAGTGCCACCAGTGAGTCTTTTACAACTCACATCTGCTTTGACCAGGATCAAATTCTGATCAAACACATACCCGTTCGCATTGCCGCATCTCTCTAGAGCAGGAGCTACACATATTTCTACTTTACGCGGCTTACCATCGTCCACGTGAATCTCCTCCATTTCAGACTCGTAAAAGCTATAACCATATAACTGACCAGACGTGCCGCCGGTATAAGTGACGAATCGATAGTCGGCACGTTGTCTCTTCATTTTCAGATCGAGAGCAACGGCTGCAGATATGATTGTCCTGAGCTGTTCCTTTCCCTGGGCAAGGCTTTGTGTAGACCATGGCCTCAGTTTTCTGCGTAGCTTGCTGCAGAATCTAGATATCCGTTTCAGGACCGGCGAGGGATCAAACGTAGGTCGCCATCTGCCGTCCACTTGAGGGACAAGGAGATTGACCGTCATTGCCCTCCATCGGTGGTACTCTTCAGCCTCTTCGTCATTCTTAACCGCTAGCCAGCTATTAGCGCACAGTCTATGCCATGAGGGAAACAACTAATGGCATACCTTTGCGAAGTGTATCATTTATTGGACGTAGTTTCCTATCGCCGAGCTTTCCAGCCCAGAAGTATCCACATCCATTCCGTAGATTGCTGAATATGCGCTCTTGGAGCTTGTTCCACAAGTATGCCTGGATAAGAAGGGGCCGATCGGTTGAATGCTTGAGGTACGCTGAGTAGTTATCGGTAAGATTGCCGAACATCTCTTTGGACGAGTTGACATGAGGTCGCTTCTTGCGATTGGAGACTGGACCGTCAAAGTACTGTTCGGACCAGTTCCGGATCTCATAGCGTAGCGTCTGTAATTCCTCTACCAAGCTCTTTTCGTCAGCTTTATAGATAACTGAGTCCCGCAGTATTCCATTTGGCCCCATCGACTTCCTCTGCAGCTGCTTCCGAAGCGCATCTCGCTCTCGTGTGACTTGGTAAAAGCGCTCCACCAGATCGTCCTGGCTGCCGCCTTTTTTAACATTAGGTCGGGACGGTGATTTTGGTGGTAGAAGAGGAGATTCGCTCGAGACAATCCGTGGACTCCCTTTCCGCGCGGGAGAATTTTCTCCTGATGAGGAGTGCGCCCAACTCTCTTCAGCGGCCAGTGTTGCAGCTCGTCCAGCAGCAAGCGTGTTGGGCGGTACATATTGCGTCTTCCGCCGTCCCTTCGGTATCAATTGCTCTTCGTCGGACCAGTCCGATTCTCCTTCATGCAAGACATGGCCCATGTCATCAGAATCGAATGGTGAGTCGAGGGATTCGGCTGAGGGACAGGAAAGTTTTAGAGCAGCGAGAGTTGAGTGTCTTACATAAGGGTCTACTGGCAATGTCAGCTTTGAGCTTACTGCGGTGATATAGATAAAACAGATGTACCTGGCTCGCGGGTAGTCATCTTCAGCCGAGGAGAATACTGTGCCTAAATATGACCCCAGAAACAATGCAGTCAGCCGTATCTACAAAGCAACGTGTTGTCAATGTCTGGGCCCGAAGCCAAAGAAGAGGAGGTTAGTCAAGAGTCATGGGAAAGCGATGCTTCATGCCTCTTTGGAGGCTGGGGAGATGGCATCTTCGGGCGTTGATGGTGCCCACAGCCTGGTTCAGGCTGAGGCGTCCTAGGTACATGTACCAGTGGTGATGGCAGTGATGGGCTGCGGATTCTCGTCATTAGGCGGCTCGGGGGCCAACCAAACGATGAGGAGGGGTCGTCAGCAACAAGGTGGTTGGAGTGGTGTGCAAACCCACTGCATGATGATGATTGGATAATCATTATTGATAGATTGCGCGCTCTCGGCAGAACTGTTCATCCGAAGGGTCTGTGCATCTCTAAGGTCTCGACGTCTTAACATCTCTATTCTCAATCTCTGCACCAACCTTCTTCTTCCTGTACCATTTACCTGTCATGAAATCACAGGACCTCTCCAAGTCGAAACGTTGGCGGAAAGATGTTATATAGTAGTATAGAATACATCTACAAAGTCACGTGATGATCATTTTCTCTCAGCCAGTTGGAAGGACTGAGGAAGCTTCAAGCATGAATTTAAGTTGTGAATAGGGTAGCTTTAGTAATATATCTGCCTCTTCACCAATTAAAACTATCGTTTTGTTCTTGGAGTACTCGTACGACGTAAATAATCTAAAGACTAGACTTCGCAGATGTTCATCTTGGTTATGGTAAGGGAGAGGAAAACAGGATTTGAAGCCTTTTAAATATTAAATTGTCTGGTCGGGAGGATGGGATAGCCAATTGTTGACCTCTATGACGGACTTTCTAAACATGAAGCAACTGCAGTCTTTCTACTTCGTACTGAAGTCCTTGGGCTAAACGGCTGGCTGGCGAAAATTGGAGATCCAGGAATTGTCCCGGGCTGTCCACGTGAGACTGGACGGCAAACACTCCAACATATTCTGGCATTCTGCCCCAACCATATCCAACCCTGCGCGAATTTTCTTTTTAAAGACAGGCACTACAGAACTTCAGGAAATCTAGAAGGAGAAGAGAATGGCAAAAGCAGCCGCGCAATGACTCCTAGAAACAAACATGCTTGGACACTTCCAACTTGAAAGGGCTATTGTAAAAGAAAATACAGGGGACTGGGCCCCGTTCCAACTAACCCAGGCCGTGTCATAATAATCTCTCTGTTACCTAAGCGACAGCACTGGCAGATAGGGAACAACAACTATTAGCTGGTGAAACAGCTCACCATAGCTATATTAGAATGGTTTAGGGTGAGGAAAAGGCAAAGATTTTGGACTAGAGGAACGTTCCTCTAGAGTCGGGTTTACTTTGCTCTTAGCATTGATATAACGTGTTCATAGACCCGATTGGGAACCAGGTAGAACGTTAAATTGAATTATTATTATTATTGAATATTAAATTGGGACAAAGGATTCCACTATGAGGTTCTAGGTTCTTTCAATGCGAAGTAACATGACGGCCACAGTAAAGCATTAGTGCTTCCGATTCAATCCTTTCATTATTTATTTGAGAACTTATTCCATACATCATCCTCCCCCTTCTATATATTCCCAATTCTGACAATCTCAAGGGGCTCAGGAGGCGTTTCATATCTTGTGACTTTCCAGAACCACCACTTGCCTGGTATTGTCATGCACTTAGTGGGCTGTTTTCAACCAGGAGCCCCATGGGATATTAGTAAGCAGCTTAAGCGACCGCACATTTTACGAAGTCTGACAGAGCCAGACGCAATAATAAGGAAATTGAGGAGCTCTACAGCTACACAACCTACGGTTACTGGAGATGGCATGCCATTGAGCAAGCGTGGAAGGACTGTAACAAGAATGCGTTCTGATCCTCTCTCACCTTCTTACTGCGGCTACATTGTTCTCGTATAAATCAAGCTTTAACGGTTCAAAAGCCTGCATCCGTATTCAACCTTTTCTACCCGCTTCAATATCCTCCCACCCCTTCCCGATTCAACCTTTCCAGAATACACTATCCATGGCCGTATCCTCGCTCAGGGGCTTACCAAGATTTGATGTCATAGTATAAGGCCTGGCTTTCCGGTATTAACGGTGCCGATCAAGCCAATGTTTCGGAAGAAGAAAAGAAGTGTAAGTTGCCGACATTACTAATCAATAGCAAGTATGATTATATTACGAGGGCGAATATTTTGACCCACAGAGTAAGGAGTGGGTGGAGGGCTTGAGCGTCGTTGATTTGGAATGTGGGCTTTTGAGTTCAGCTTGAGAAGGCGGAGGAGTATACGAAGTGGATTGAGAGGTTTGGGGTGGCAGTTTGGAAGAAAGCAGTACGAAATTATAAGAAGAAGGATTCAGAAAAGTCAAAGTAAGTGAGACACATATGACTAACTTGACCATTCTCCTGAGGTTTACGACACCGGGCGCTGATCAGACTCAGCCCTTTCTTTCTTCTATTCATATTTTTGGGACCACTATAAATAGTTTTTTTTAGCTTCAGGCTAAGCAAACACAGCTTTCGATAACGCTGTTAACCCGCCCTCTAGATCTCTTGGGCTTAACTTATATGTAAGCCGAGACGGCATATAGTAGGAGCAACTTGCTGCTGACTCAGCACACAATACGTGTATATATACTCAACAGTTCATTAGACCTGAGAACAAGACAGAACATGATCACCAGAACAATACAGCCTGTTCACTACCCAGTTTTCACCTCATTCTGCTTACATTATATAGTGTTGGAAACCATTGGATTCAGGGCGAGTATATTATGGCACGTGACCACTAGTTAGACTGCTACCTCGGCACGAGCGCCCGCACATACATAGGAGTAGAATAGTCATAACACTCTGCTCTTCAACCAATACAACAACTCTCCTGCACTGCTTTACCTTCACCTGTTCCAGTAACACTTGTACCGGTCATACAGTATATAGGATATCATTGTTCAAAATATAGTGCATATTGAGTTAGCCCAGAGTTCAGAGCACGCATGAATTGCTGCGTGGTATCCATTTAGCTACGGATCTTGGGGCTATGCTCATCCCAATTCTTTTCTGCGGAATAGGTAGAAGATAACTAGGCTCAATTTTTTTTTTTTAATTCTCACAACCTTGGACCCCTCTAGACGTCACGTAAC